CTCGTCATGGCCTATCCTGTGAAATTATATGTATGTACATGTGTGTATATGTGTTGTGCGTACTGCCTTGAGATATATGTGAGTGATTTGGATTGTTTATTGATGTGCTTGTTTTCATTTGATTTGTATAGACTCACCTTCCGCACGCGGTCTTCACAGATGTTAGGATAATTTCGTCTTAAACTGTCCTTACTTTCTTTCGGTCTAAAGCCTTTGTCATGTTTGTCTAGCTTTATGAAGGTATCTAAACCTGATTATAGGTATTGTTATTGGCCGGTAGGTGTATCTAAACCTGTGTACTCATAGATAGAGTTTTCACCTTTCAACGGAATTATAGTACTTTGTTACAGTGGTACGATATCGATTTTGTCACGAACTGATGTACGTAATTTTGTAGAGGCAGTTGGAACGCGATGCGGCGAAACGAAACTATTGTTTATCTTGATTATATATGTTCGACAAAGGCCAGTGGCCGAAATATCACATATTTTCTATAAATAAAGTACATTTTTCGGCACTTTTTTATTCAATATCGAGGAAAGGTCATGCTTATATATTTTCAAATAACTATTACAATGTTCCTCGCACAAGCACTTAACTCCATCGAGTGAGTTTTCATTTGTAAGCACATGGGGTCATATGTACCTACGTTCACATTCAAGAATTCGTCGATGAATTTGGTTAACCCGGGCCCTGCTGGGGTGTTTGAACACCCCCCTTGTGGTTTTTCGCGAATATCTAAAAAACGGCGAAGGTTGTTATAAACGGCCACAACAAAGTTGGTAAAAAAGCGATAAGGAAGCCAAATCTGCCTTTTTTTAATTAAAGAGTTTTTTTTTCTAATAACTGGTGGATCCAGAAAGGCGGTCTTGAACGCTGGGGGGATAATTATTCTCAAAAATTCTACAAAACTCCATAAACTTCTCGGATTCCGATTCCTTACGCACTGCTGAGCAGTTGAAAGCATTTTTTCTTACAATGGTTGTTGGCTTTCTTTGCCTCACGAAAAACTGCAAATATTATTTAATTTCGGGCGGCGCACGCGGGTAGTTGCCCCGAATCCCCCCCCCCCCTACTTGATCCGCAAGTGCTGAGAACTATAGCACCACCACCTCGCAGCGTCTCAAGTCACTTTCTGGATCCGTTAATGATCCTGTCCTCGGCAGAGAACCTTTCTGGTAAACTGCCTGAGAGGAGCATTCACTCTCTAGTTTCATCTTTATTTTTTTACGTTCTCATTGTTTTTTTTTAAAGCACTTAAAGTACCTCTTAAAAAGCTGAAACTCTGCTTGAGGCTCATGATGAATAACAATAATATAAGAATAACCAGTAACCTCATAATATAAATCAGAAATAGGAGCGAAAAAGTTATATTTAAAGCTATCGAATATTTCGCTCCTGGAGCTTTGTCAGCGATAATTACTTATTATCGCTGATAATTACTTATTATCGTAATTATCGCTGACGAAGCTCCAGGAGCGAAATATTCGATAACTTTAAATATAACTTTTTGGCTCCTATTTCTGATTTATATTATGAGGTTACTGGTTATTCTTATATTATTATCACTTAAAGTACCACTTGAGAAATTTATGATAAGAAGCATAATGCAAACAAATTCAAATATTTTCATCCTTTTGAAATCATTTAGAAAATAATTGAAAAATAAACGATAAACCAACAACATAGATTACATAAGCTACATTTATATCTAATCTCTCTAATAAATGACAACGTTAGCAATGTAAGACAAATACAAAACAATAAACAATCCTATCACATAACTACAGCATATAACAGCAAGTCCTTCTATGCATAGCAAAATCGTCAAACAGTCTAACTCAGAAGTCAAATAATTATCTCATCAGGTACAATTGTCAATTACCCCGGAGAAGCAGACTCACTATCACGTACCAACATCAAAGAAGATCCGCCGTGTATGACCATGCAGGCAAATGTTCCATGCAGCTGTCCTAACTTCATTGACGATCTTCTTCATTCCTGTTATCACAGTGCTCATATGCAGTTGCATACCTGACTCAGCACCTGGGACAAACTTCCGCCCTCCACGGACCCGAGAGTGAGTCGGTAAACCCACCACCGCACCGTCACCGCGCCCTCCTGCGGGCACCAGATGATCCCACTACAGACTATCTCTGCGCTCTCACTCCATCGCGACTCGGGATGAGCCCACTGTCTCCCACCAGTCGACTGGCTACGCCCGATTTGCATGACAGACAGCTGTTAGTCGCTGGTCTCGACCGCGCTGGGCCAGGAGTGGGTTCTGGCCCTGCCCTGGCCCTCCCCGGCCCTCCCCTCAGGGGGTGTCTCAGAGAACCGGTCCTGCCGCCGGCGTGAGACAGGTTTGCTCTCGGTACAGCACCAAACACGGAGGTCTGGTAGTTTGGCGGCGGCACGTGGCACGTGCTGATCAGTCGATTCGCCGGGACGAGTGCAGCCGCGGGTCTCGATGGAAGCAGGTATGTATGAGCATTGTTCATGCAGACACCTTTGGTGTGACCCAGGCGACTGGATAGTCAGGAGAAAAGGAATGCTCGACCTTGTGCGAAGGCATTCCGGTTTTCTGTTTGTGTGTAATTTGTATAAACCCACGTCATGCAGCATTCAGATTTTGGTCTATAATTTCTGGTTGAATAAGAAAGAAACTGGTAAGACAGGTGCATGCTCTGATTATGATGCAGCTATCACTTATCCCGCGCCCCAGTGGCGGTCTCAGCCAGCTTCACCCTAGTGGGGGGGGGGGGGCATATGTTACCACCCACCTCTAACTCAAAAACTAAGAGGGCTAGAAAGACGCAGTAAAAAGCAGTTGATAGCTCTCAATGCGTACGTTTGAAAGTATTTCAGTCATTTTTCACCTTAGAGCAATATTGGGGTCACCAGCGGTCATCAAAGGTCAAAATTTGCCAATTGTCATTATATTTTTCAGAAAACATGCCGCTATCTCAGGAACAATGGCAGCTAGAAAAACGCATGAAAAGCAATCGATAGCTTTTGAACTCTTCTTTTGATAAGGTCATTGTCAAAATTGACCTCAGGTCAACGGTTTAGTCTCCAGAGGGCAAAAACTCCAAAAATAGCTGTTTTTACGAAAAGTGTTCTTCGACAATAACTTTCGACTACAAAAAGCCACGACATTTCTATTGCCAGAATCGTGTTCCCCTCGCCGAGACGCGTCGAATGAACTATAATTTGACCTTGAAAGGTCAACTTGAAAATTTGACCTCAGGTCAAGGTCAAGACCTGACCGGAAAAGGTCATGTTGCATATCAGTCGATGCGTCTCAACAAGACAAACACAATGAGACCAACCCCAGCGTTCTATCTTTTTCCAATCGCGAGTTATTGGCAAAAAACTGTTTGTAGCCTCAAATGACCTCGGATGACCTTTTTAGAGGCTATCAGCAAAAATGACACCTTGGTCATCACGAGTGTCCCAAATCATTGTGATTCTGAAATATTTGGACTGTTCCTATGCGTATACACGGATCTAGAGGCATTTTCATTTTTCTCCTTTGACTTGTAATGGAAAGGTCACGCCACTGACCTGACCTTAGGTCACGGATATAAAAAATCCGAGATATACAAATTGTAGGCGCCCATACCAGCATGCAATCCACCAAGTTTAAAACCTTTCTGACAAACACTGCAGGCTGGACATGATTGCAAACATTTTTTAGGCTTGATCAGTTAACTTGACCTGGTGACCTGACCTGACATGACCTGGGGTCAAAAATTTCACACATTGTCCAAAATTGATGTATTAAAAGCTACCCGAAGCGGCGCGGCGCTAAGCGCCGCGGTTTTTTATTCACACGCAAAAAACGCGACAGGGTGGTAACATATGCCCCCCCCCCCCCCCACTGGGGCGAAGGTTATCTGGTCGATACCTGAACCGGCCGAAGCAAACTTTAGTCGCTACTTTTTCGTCGCTTCCTCGGCAGATGTGATAGCAGTGACAGCTGAAAGATGAAGGCATCTATTTGTGTTGAAGTGATTGAACAACTTTCATCGTTGGCGGCAGATAAGAGCCATCCCATATATGACTTCATGTTTACTACTTCTATGGTATGAGCTCGAAGCCGCTTGGCACTACCAGTCTGAATTCTAAGAATGACCTCCAAGCCATTCATAGAATACATCGCGTGCAGTAGTCCAGCCCAGAAGAAGTAACGCCGGTAGCAGCAGCAGATAGCTCCAAAACGGCAGCAGAGCCAGCGGCAGTGACGAGATGGAGCCCCTATGCGCGCATCTGCACGGGAGCCGCCCCGCGGGTTTGCCGGCGGCACCTCTATACCACTAATTAACCGCCACTCATTACGGCGCACCGGCGGTGGCGGCGGCGCGCGTCAGACGTGCTGACGCGCCGCAATAGCCGGTGCTGCGTCTCAATCGGCGCCGATCGGTCAGAGGCGGTGTCGGGGTAATGGAGGCGTGAGACGGGCTTCCGGAGCCGGCCGAGAGCGGTCGAGTCCGGTCGGCCGGGACAGCCTCAGAGACGGATGGACACTACCCCCGGCCGGCCGTGCGACCCTCCCACAGACACCCGCTATTACACCGGGCCGCCGTGTCGGTCTGTGACAGACGATGTAATCAAACCGATGTCGATCACCGGAGTCATTAGCTGTGACACGGCCGCCGAGTGAAATCACGTCCGGCCGAGAGACCCGATGGACGGCTTCCGAGGTTTTGATTGGATTTAACGCCGGACGCGCTAACGTGACATGACGGATGGGATGGCGGTGTCAGGAGGACGATGGATGAGTGCGTTTTGGGCACTGGGCAGGTCGGTCTGCTCAGAGGACCGCTCACTGGTGTCACTACGAGTTTCATCAGCTCGTGGTGTTACTACGAATTTCATGAAACAGCTCGTGAAGTCAATATGAGATAATATTCTAGTACCATTGCATACAAATCGTGGAGTTCAATGTTCCTATCGTAAGGAATTGATCCGAGCGCATTTTTGAAAACGTTGCGGTATTTCCCATTGTTTTTTTATGACCACTTCATTCAACAACATTGGAAACAACGTTGTGCTGCTACAACCCAATAGTCGTCTTACAATCATGCGCAGCTAATTTTTTCGCTGTCTCTGGCTCCATCAGCTCGATACCAACGCTGCCTATGTGCGCCAACCACCCGGGAAACTTCTATCACCGGCGACAGGAAATTGGACGTCAGCCCTTCCTCCGAGTCTCCGACACCCTGTCTCTCCTTCTCCCCTCCCCCATCTTCCTCAGGTCTGCAACCCTCCACCATCGTCCGCCCGGTCACCGAACCCATCCAGCTCGACAGAAAAATCAATGCAAAATTCGTCGCCATGGCAACGCTTCACATAATTATCAATAATGACGGCGCTGCCGCGCGCTCCTCCCGACTTTTCTGGCTCGTCAATTTGGCAGCGGCGATGCGGCGCGCTGATTTGTGGACAATAGCGGCGCTGTGTCGCAAAAAGCGCCGGTAATTGCGTGCCTTGCCAGGGGTGTTCGGAAGTCGTCCATAGGCTGGCTGTGGCGCGGGGGAGGGGCCACTGTCGGCCCTGGAGCTGCACACCGCTCGGAGTCGGCGGCCAAAATGTCCGGCCTCACCGCTCGGCTGCGTGTCCTGAAGCGGGGCTGCATCGGCCGAACTGAGCTATACGGCCGGGCTGGCGGACATGGAGTGTCGCGGTCCAATGTCCGCTGCAATGGCTCACCAAGGTGGTGGTAGATCGCTGCATGGCCGCTGACCACCTGAAATATCAGGAAAAGAAAACTATTTCGAATATATTGTACACATTTGAACTGACAGTATAAGCATAAAAAACGTTGCGCAGTCTAGTCGTTTGAACAAAGAAATGTCGGCATTGTGGAACGATTTGATAAAGAAGAGTGTGCTAGCTGACAACAAAATATAATCCGGAGAATTTGGATTAAATACTGAAAATAAAAGCTTGCCAAACATCGAAATTTTAATTGAGAACTTCCTCTTGAGCGTCTGCAACACCACTTCTAATTTCTTTTTAGATTAAAGAATAATGCGTCGGATTTGCCCTAGTCCCGCGCTGAAATCAGTTGCACTGTGACTTCAACTTATTTTTCAAACGTTATTGATGCTTGCAGATGGCTCGAGTGTTTTGAAAGTATATTTGCAAGGTTTTGAAGAACTACAAGAACAAAACTGTTTTTAAGTGTTATTTGAAAAGAATCAAAAGACCTCCAAAAAACAGCTTCGTTCATAAAATAAACTTAACGAGAGGTTTTAAGCAAGACCTTAACCCTCGCCGGCACAGGGGGGGGGGGGGTTGATGCAACCCCCCCTAAGGTTTTTCGCGAATAACTCGCGTAAAAAGCGGCCGATTGCGACGAAACTTTCAGTACCCTCGCACTGATCAATTTTACACCTACCCTGAAAATTTCATGAACCTGACCCCAATGACCTTTGACCTGTGACCTCTTTTCTGTGACCATGTTTGGCCGAAATCGCGGTTCGGCGCATGTCGGCTCGCATTAGCCGCGCGTTTGCAAGCTTTTCGTGGTTTCAAACGTTCAAACATGTGATTTGATGTTGCTCCCATGCATTAGGGTGGGTGTTAAGGTCACCTGAAGGTCAGGTCAGGTCATTGACCTTTGGTGACCTCGGGTGACCTCGGTTCACTTTTTCGAGTGTTACATGTTTCTAGACTAGTTTTTGGAGCTGAATTCGAAATTAGCAACCATTTGAACATTTACGAAGTAGTTTTGGTGCCTTCGTAACATGTTACGAAGCTGTTAGAGGCGGTTGACACGTATTACGAATACCCGTCACAACCCCTACCGGTTGACCTGACCTGACCTGACCCGACCTGGTCTTAATGCTGAAAGACATCATCTCTGATCAAAACTAACACGATATTCGTGATCAGCATCCCGGAAAACCACCTAGCAGCCACACTTTACGACTTTCTAACAGGTCCCGATTTTCCCGGTTTTCGGGTCATTGACCTGACCTGGAAGGTCACCCAATGACCTAGGCCTTAAAATTGGGTATCATCGGCTTCCTCTCGTGACGGGCAGCACGCTCGTTTTTTCCGCGAAGCTCTAGCTCGATCAGGGGCCAAACGCGAGGGGGGGGTCGTACCAACCCCCCCCCTTAGAGTTCTGCACGGCTGCAATTTTCCACAGCCTAGCCGCCCCGCAGCCGTGGCTCCACAGCCACAGCCGCCCACAGCCGTGGCAAACTGTGGGCAGCCAGCCGTCAGCCGGCCGTGGATACTTTCAATGAAATGCAACCAAATAGTATATAATAAGTTGTTTTTAGTTGAAACATATAGCCAAAAGCACATTGCAATGGGCTATAGATTCTCAAGCTCATGAAGCATCATAGGTTAAGTGGTTGTGTATCTGGCTTTAGGCCAAAGGCCTGAAGCCTGATGCGCAACGCATGCCTACACAAGCCCTTGCAAGGGGGGTAGGTACCTACATCAACAGAAAACAAACAACGAACCAGAATAGAAGCACTAGCAGTGTAGATATCTAATGCCAAATCCTGAAGCATGGTTGTGGGACAGAACAACAGACCCTGATGCTTTTCATTATCAATGTTAGGTATGGAAAATGAAACTGAAGTTGATGGACTGTCAAACAGTGATTGTCTAGTCAAAACTCTTGCTTCTTTCTTACCTTGCATATTTTCTGGGGTGTGATATGCCAGGCTTGAAGCAGCCTTCTGAGCAAGTCTCAAACTAATTTGATATGCAAGGCATCAAAACACTAGTGAGCATCCAAGAAAGAAAAACATTAATCTATTTTGATTTTTCCAAATAATGATCTTCGCTCAAATCCCCAAGGACGTGCGAGCCACAATTGCCTCTTTCAATCAAAAATTTTACTTTAGTTTTTAATGACGTCAATAGCAAAGAAGTGGTAATTAATTGTCTTGTGTCAATATAAACAGCCAAAAAAATATAATTAATAAATAATAATGCTAAACAGTTAAAAACTTGCTCTCAAACAAAGAATAAGTATCAAATTTTTTACATTTTCAGAAGAAGACGTCATTTTATTAGTAAAGTCAACAGCTCGCGTAAGAAATATTGTGTTCAGAGCGCTGTTCGGCGGCCGGCTAGCGCGCTAGCCCGCGCACACATACGTGCACGTTGCCCCGGCAACGGGCTATTGACCAATGAGAAGCGCGCTACAGGGGGGCACAGGTATATGAAAAATCGCAGTGACGTTGCACTTTCCTCGCTTTTCATTGGTCAATAGCCCGTTGCCGGGGCAACCAGCACGTATGTGAGCGCGGGCAAGAGTACTAGCCGGCCGCCGATCAGGGCTCAGGGTTTTCACCATGGATGAAGGAGAACCTGGATTGGAAACTAACAGCTGATTGCGTTCCCTTCGGTAAGTGCCCGAGGGCACGCGCGGCGGCAGCGGGAGCCGCGTCTGCCGCGCATTCACTGGCGCCGCGTAAGCGTTCACTGGCGCCGCGTAAGAGAATAACACTAGAAATGGCCCTCTTTTTCAAGGTCGTCTGTATTCGGCCCTTGTGTACGACTTTTGTGCGGTACGGAAAATAATAGTTTTGGTCTCATTCGATAGCCTGATCAATTTTGTCTGTCGTAAATAGCTTCTAAACCTAAAAATAAATCCGCATTGCGGTCTAATACCCGTTTCAAAACATGCCGCCCCGCGTCCCCCATAGGCCGCAATGCTTAAAGGGACCCTCCCACCTTAACATTAGTTTTGAGTTGAGATAGCCAAGTTTGCGGCCAGGCTCAGAAACCACCATTTATCCTGGTCGCAACCCCCGCAGCTTTATGGTGTTCAAGAAATTTCTTCCCTTTACTTGCAGGGTGGGACCAGCGTGGTCCCTATCTCTTAACCATTACGGGAATCTGATGACGTCATCAGGCTTTCGAACGTCCGTTAAATGTTTGACTAAAACGTTTTGTAGCACGCGGTGGTATATGCTGCTTTGCGCGCAACAAATGCCGCACTTTCAAATAAAGTCGCTAGGAACAGCGGAGATCCCAAAAAGTAAACAAAAGTAAAAGTCTAATATCTTGAAAACCGGTGAATATTTTTCGATGAAATTTGGTAGATATTCGTTTTTGCTCTTTCTGAACCGAGCGACATCACTTTCACGCCAATTCATTAACTTTTTTGAAGGTGGGAGGGTCCCTTTAACGGCGGGAGTTTCCAGTCCCGATACTTACCGAACGCTAGGTGGCAGGCCGATCGCCCGGAACGCTGCCCGTAATGTTGAAGGAATAGGAGTTTCCTATCCAGGTTCTTTCATCCATGGTTTTCACCGTCATGTGAATTACGTGTTCAGGGTTTTCACCATCATGTGAATTAACCGTAAGTAAGGTTCATGCTCACTTATAATCTAATTCCATTGGCTTCGTTGATCAGCATTTTCTGTTAGCGGTCACTCACACACCAGTTAGAACATAAAGCGCCAGTTTTATATTATGTAATTGGACTTGCCGAAAATCCAGAAATACATCTAAGAGTTATTTTAGATAATATTTTATGAAGCCTTTACCTGCCTTTACCTAGGCGTGATTTCTTTTTCTATTACCTGAAAGAATTATTGAACACTCGTCTTCAATAGCTGTAAGGTGCTCTCCTAATGACCAGGTGAGATTGGTTTGAGAGGGATGTGACAATGCAACATGTTGCATTTTCTGAAACTGTCAAGCTCTTGATGATGAAGGAACAATTGGTACCTATAATTAGTATTCTGTACCAGAGTGCTAACTCCCCTACAGCAAATGGTAAAACCATTACAGGTTTTCAAAGGCTTCACCACTTTCAATGCTGCTGGGCATCCTTTGCATGATTTTTACAGGGTAGACTGCTTATCAGAATGTAAGATTTAAGGATTTAAAATTTTATATTTGAGTACTTAAGATTGAGCTTGAAATCTCACAGCCGTGGCCACAGCCGTAGCCGTGTTCTTGGAGATATTTGCAGCCGCCCCGGCCCACAGCCGTGGGGCTGCAGCCAGCCGCGGCTGCAGCCGGCCGGTGCAGACCTCTACCCCCCCTTGTGCCGTCGAAGGACTCAAAATGGCCTGTGCCGGCGAGGGTTAACCCTCGCGGGCACGGGGGGGTGATGCACCCCCCCCCCCCTAAGGTTTTTCGCGAATAACTCGCGTGAAAAGCAATCGATAGCGACGAACTTTCAGTAACATCGAGTTGATCAATTTTACACCTAACCTGAAAATTTCATGACCCTGACCCAAATGACCTTTGACCTGTGACCTACTTTTCGAGACCATGTTTGGCCGGAATTGCGATTCGGCGTATGCCAGCTCGCATCAGTTTGCAGTCTTTTCGTGGTTTCAAGCGTTCAAACATGTGATTTGATGTTGCTCCCATGCATAAGGGTGGATGTCAAGGTCACCTGGCGGCCAGGTCAGGTCACTGACCTTTGATGACCTTGGTTTACTTTTTCGAGTTTTGCAGGTTTCTAGGCTAGGTTTTGCAGCTGAATTTGAATTTGCAACCATTTGAACATTTACGAAGTAGTTTTAGTGCCTTCGTAACATACATGTTACGAAGCTGTCATAGGCGGTTGACTTGACACGCACTACAAATACCCGGCAGAGCCCCTACTGGTTGACCTGACCTGACCTGGCCCGACCTGGCCTAAATTCATAAAGACATCATCTGTGATCAAACCTAGCATGATATTCGTGATCAGCACCCCGAAAAAAAAAAACACAACAGCCAAGTCGTAGAAAGTCGTAAAGTGTGCACACTTTACGACTTTCTAACAGGTCCCGATTTTCCCGACTTTTGGGTCATTGACCTGACCTGGAGGGTGAACCGATGACCTAAGACCTTAAAGTTGAGTATCATCGGCTTTATGTCGTCACGGGAAACACAATCGTTTTTTCCGCGAAGCTCTAGCTCGATCAGGGGCCATACAACTTTCATTTCATGCAACTTATCATAGCAATTTGGAAAAATGTTGGTAGAGAGAGAGAGAGAGAGAGAGAGAGAGAGAGAGAGAGAGAGAGAGAGAGAGAGAGAGAGGGAGAGAGAGAGAGGAGGGGTAAATGTACATGCACAATAATCGATAAAATATGCTGTGTGCAGGGTGAAATATCACACCAAAACGTTTTCAATCATCCAATGAGAAGAATTTTGCATACAGCCCGACTTCGGTGGTGCTGTTTTAAACGATTTTGTATGATTCGTCAGGATCAGAATAAGTTTATGGTGCATGCAGTAACTACAGTTGGTTGACATATTCAATGTTGTGCTCATGTTCTGGAAGCTTCAATCATCCAATGAGAAGAATTTTGCATACAGCCCGACTTCGGTGGTGCTGTTTTAAACGATTTTGTATGATTCGTCAGGATCAGAATAAGTTTATGGTGCATGCAGTAACTACAGTTGGTTGACAGATTCAATGTTGTGCTCATGTTCTGGAAGCTTTTGTTGTTGTTGTGCACGGCTGTGCATTCCCAAGTAATGGTAAAACATCAAGTTTCCAGCGTATCTCATTCGGTAATAATTTCAAATAGTAAGGTAGCATTTATGACCCTGCTTGAAATCGAGTACGTTCTGGTTAGTTTTTATGATTGAAGTATGACTGCCGTGATATAGACAAGTAAAGTATCGTCCCATCGCCCCACCAGAAGAATCCCGTATTGGCCAACGGCGGCCTTCTCATGCATCAGGACAACGAACCTCCCAAGAGTGCGCGCGTCTCGCGGGCCAAAAACACGGAAATGATCTCATATTCTCTGCACACTTACAAGGTCTGACGTCATGACTATGAGACTAGTCTTTTTTCCGAAACTGATGGTCAGTCCTCGTAGACGGTGGTGCGAGTTTAAGGACACTGTTGGTATGGCGATATCTACCAGTGGGCTCATCACACCTCCAAAGAAGAGCTCACTTATGTAGTGCTAGCTGAGTTGGATGTGAATCTGGGCACGTTTTGCTGGGAAGGACGGAGGCTGTGAGGAGAAATGAGCTTATAGTATTTTTTTTTTTTGTTATAGAAGTGTTCGCACTGAGAACACTTCTATAACAAAAAATACTATTCTCACTACAAAAAAAGACAACTGAACCGACACTTTCACTGAGGTAGGTATAACTCAGTGCATGGCATAAGTTATCAACTTGAGCTAAACATTGCATTGTGGCCTGAAGGACTTTGATGAACGACGCATGAGAAATATACTAAAGAGCTGAAAAGTGAAGGTGTAAGGTGGAGACGGGCGAAATTTAAGCAAAAAATAGAACACTGCATAGCACGGTGTAGATAAAGAAAACGACAAAATGCCACAAAAAAACATGTTCAAACTTCGTTAAAAATGTACCATGCATAATGTTTCAGATGCATTATGAATACAATGTTCCAAGTTACAAGGAGGAAATAAAACCAATAGCAATCGTGATGAATACCGCCGAATTGAGACCGGATGAAAATGTTACTACTGACGCAACCATGCAAGCATATGGTTTGAACTCATCCATGACTGTGAGGCGTTACAATGCCTTGTGTAAGGAATAGTGACGCTCATGCTCAAGTTGAGTGAGTCATTTATGAACACAAGCTAAGCAGATTATTAGCCATGGACTATTTCTCCTACTATTTATGATAAATTGAATAGAATGACTTATTCAAGACCACCAAGCAAATGAGGCTACATGATCAGTCGGGACTCACGTGGCATGTGAAAAGCTGGCTTTTTTTGAAT